GTTAAATGACTTTGCAAAGCATCTTTTAACAGACTTTTCAAAACTTTTCCCACAACTAATGTAAGACTAATGGTTCTATAATTACTTGGATAATTTTTATCACCTCCTTTGAAACGAGGTGTTGCATTACCTGCCCACTATTCAAGGACTGACAAAAAAAAGTAGTAAGTGGCTCACATATCCAATCTTTAACCTCCTTCAGAACCCCTTTTGGAAATATTATTTCACCCAGAAGACTCATTGTATTTTAAACTTCTGAATTTTTGTTTAACCAGCTCAGAATTAATGCAGTCATTTCGTTTCCATTTATCAACTGTTCAAGATGTGTAATACTGCTTAAATCTTTGATGGTAAAAACCAAAAAAAGCAAAATTTAACAACCCAGCCATCTCATAATCAGCAGATACTAGCCATCCTCTATCATCCCTCAAGGGTCCTACCCCCATCCTAACACTTTGTTTACCCTTCTTAATGTATTTAAAAAATTCTTACTGTTAATTTTACATTTTCAGCCAACCTTTTCTCATGCATTCCTTTTTGATGTCCTAATTTCCTGTTTCACTAACTTTCTTGATCTTCTATAATCTTCTAAATCTTCTGTCATACCAGTCAATTTAAATTTATTATGCTTTTTTTAAACTTTGTGTCTTAAACTCTTTGTGAGCCAACCTGGTTTTTACTTGCAGCTACCCTTTTCTTTCTCTAAGGAATATTTCACCTTGAATATTTAAAAATTTATTATTAAAAATTTTCCACATTTGATCAGTGTCTCCAAGTAACTCAGCTGTCCAATTCACAACAGATAATTCTTGTCACATCTCTTCAAAATTTGCTTTTTTAATTTTTGGAACCAAAATATCATAATTTATTGTTTCCATATGCAGCGAAACATCGAACCTAATAGAGCAATGATCACTTGCACCCAGATGTTTCCCAATTTCCACCCTCTTGATCATTTCTGTATTTGAAGTTAACAATAAGTCTAAAATAGAATGGTTTCTAGTAGGTTCCTTGACTACTTGGTAAAGAAAGCTATCCTGAACAGTTTCCAAAAACCTTTCTCCCTCATGGTTTGACTCTAGCATTTCCCAATCTATATGCCTGAAATTAAAATCACCCATAATTATGACTTCATTAACAGCTGAAATCTTAATCTTATTATAAAGTTTCTCACCAATTTCATCAGTATCATTTGGTGATCTGTAATAAATTCCCATTAAAAGCCTTTTCCCTTTATATCCGCTAATAGAAACCCAAATGGATTCAATCTCTTTGCTATTATATTTGATATGCTCAACTTCAACAGGATGTAACTAATATTTTACATATAAAGCCACTTCTCCCCCTCTCTTTAATACTCTGCCCTATTAAATATCCTGTAACCCTGTATTTCAAAAGAATTTCTGTCATCAAAATCATCTATGTTTAACCTTAATTCAGTTATTCCCATTATATCAAAATCCTCCATTCCTACCAGTGCTCTAACTTCATCTGTTTTATTTCTTATACTTCTAGCATTACAATAGTAACAATTAAGCCTATCCTTATAACTACTTCTATACTCATTTCCTATGATAAACTTTTCTCTGCCTCTTATTCTTTTTGCATTTAGTTTATCCTGGCCCTCACCACTGTCTAGTCCTAGTTTAAAACTTCCTTTACAGCTGAGTTAATAGACTTTGCAAACAAGCCAGCCCCTACCCTATTTAAATGTAAACCATCCATTCCAAAAAGCTTCATTCTTCCACTGAACTGATCCCACAAGTCCAACCAGCCAATCTGCTCAACCTTTCATACTAACCTAAGCCTAGCATTTAGTCCTAGTGACCTACTTAGAACTTCATCCCCACAGTTAATTCTGGGCAGTATCCCTGACAAAAGTAAGTTATGGCCTCTTCCTTTAAAGAATCTATGCCCTCTGATCTACATTTCCCTACATCATTAGCCCCTACATGCACAACAAAAACTGCATCTCTGTTAGCCCCCTTTATTATATCTCCTGTTCTATCAGTTACATCCTCCACCAATGCTCCTGGATAACATAATCTGATTCTTTTCTCTCTATTTACCCCAAAGACTGTTCTCTCTACATGGCTTGTCAAAGAATCACCTATAACTATAACCTCCTTATCATCCATATCCTTTTCTGACCCTTTTGTTTTTCTTCCTTCCAATAGTTCCTCATCTGCAGAAGTCAAGGGCTTAAGTTTGTTGCTACAACAAAATAGGCTCATTATAACAAAATTCACTGCTTTTACTCTAAAAGTACTTTTTCTAACTTTCTGAAAGTCATTGTTAGCTAATGTATCCCTTGCATGTAAAAGCTTAAACTCCTCCTGAAATCCTGTTGCCATTTCCCACAGCCTACACTCCTGTTTATCTATTGTCTCTATTTTAATTATGAGAGCCTCCAACCTACGAACTCTACATGAAAATTGCACATCTTCGTTACTAGCTTCCTTAAAAGTACATGCTAGTTCTGAGTTCCCAAATAAAGCCCATTCATTGCACCCAATACACCTAACAAACTGTGAATGCTTAACTCCAACACTAGTCTTAACCATTGTATTTATACTTATAGCCTGAAAGTAAATACTCAATACGAGTAACCTGTTATTAACACTGTTACTGTTAAGCCTAATGTTTAAGAACCAATTATTTTTTATCACTACTTTGTCTTCACACTAAAGTAATAAAGTTTATCTTGATATATATTAAACTTAGAAATAGAACTTAATAATTTATTAGAACAATATATGTATTGTTAATAATAAAATGTATATTATGTATATTATAACCTACCTACATCTATAAGCTGAATTTAAACTAATGGAGCTAAGAAGTAAACAAGTTAATTCTTAAAACACCAAGAGACAATAAATTAGTTTTTAAATTGTATTTATTTAATTAAAAAAAATATTTATCTTGTTTTACGATTTACTAGTAAATTGAAATATACCTAAACCTAAAGTACTGTTACATGTAATAAGCCTATTTTAATGTTATAGTAAAATTTACACCACTAAACTCCAAGTTAAAACTCTGACTATCTCACCTTTATTTACCATCTTACTATATCTAGTTATTACTGTGTTATTTAACCCAAATTATTACAAATTATAATATTAATATTAAATAACTTTCAGAAATATATAAGAGCTTATCTTTTCAAAGTCCTCCTTTTTCATGTAGATTTTATTTAAAAGATATCACTGTCTATAAACATTATTCAGCATTTATGGCATGTGCATCAAAACTAGTCCTAACCTTTCAAATGATGTTTAACACCAAATATATTTGCATATTTATACTAATATATACCTTTTCATGTATCATGGCCACATGATGTGCAACACAACTACTCCTAACTTTCAAACAACTCTGCAGAACACCCTTTTCATGTCTTAGGGTCACATAATGTATATATCTAGTCCTAGCTTTCACCTTGGAATTGTTCAGACGTACAAAGGGCAATATACAACCAGTTGTAACATCTTTACTTACACACAGAATACCAAATATATTTAATTATTTTAATACACACATACTGCCATATTCCAGGGCTACAAAGTGTATTATACAACCAGTCCTAACCTTCCAACAAACACGTGGAATACTCAGGCTGTTGATCGTAACCTGCTAACTACCATCAGTGATATGACACCCCATACTATTTACACTATCAGAGTTCAGGCGTCCACTAGTAGAGGGCCAGGACCATTTTCTGCTCCTGTGCAAGTCAAAACACAACAAGGTGGTATGTATGTTTTTCTCTTGCTCAGGATTTTGATTACTGTTTCACGATCATATTATTATTTTGCCTTACATCTAGAAAAAACACAAAAATACCCATTTATGATAATTGAAATATTTAGAATTGAGCAGTTAAATAAAAAATAATAATAATATCAAGCAAAGGTGAGAATTTCTACTATAGAAAAGTAATTCAAGATTTAGAAATGTTTGTGTCTATTATATCATAACCTCTTCACTTCAGCATATAAAAAGCATCAAGGCTACCAAATCATTACCAGAGCTCATCTCTGATATTGAACATCTGCGCACCATTAGAGATAGTAACTTATCATCAGAGCACATCTCTAACAAGGAAACTTCTTTAGGACATGTAGCAGCATCAGAACTACCTTTTCTATATTAGACCACATCTCCAATGCAAATTTTTAGACATCATCCAGGCAATTTTATCATGTCTAGAGTATAGATGGGAACATCTTAACAGCATTAGGCCTACATCAACAGAAGCCACTCGTTAAATCTGAAATGATACAATCTTTGCCTTCAAGAACATCTTTCAGAACAACTTTACATTTTATTTCTTGTAGTTGCATACCAGTACATGTGTTTATTCTTTGTTTGTACACTTATTATTTATTTTGAATAAGTTCAGTGTGGTGGTTGGGTGGAAAAAATAAGTGAATGCAGAAGTAAATTGTTGAAAAACTTGTAACATTCATATAATTGATACTTGAAACTGTTGGTACTTGGTGAAACTCCATAATTAGAGAATTAAAGAAAATGAAGACAATTGTACATTTCATGAATAAATCATTTATTATGACCATGGTTTTGCCAGTAAAGTCAAATTGATAACTACTGTAGACATGGAGTCAAAGTAGGGATTTGTAGCTTGAGAAAAGAATGCAGACACTACTTTCAGCCTTGTTTTTTTAGTCTCTCTAGTTATAGGCTTGAAAATACCTTTGCATTTTGATTCAACTTGTTTCTATACATTTATAATGATCCCTATTACCCCTTTTTAAATTAAAAATTTTTACTAATCTTGTTTAAGTGCTAATCTACACAATAGGTTATTTGTGCTATGCCAACCATGGGTATCAGGCTCTAAGTTCTAGTATTATATGCTCTCAAGTTTACAGCCTGAGCTAGTGGGAAGCTCTATCAAAAATAAGTAATTAGTTGTTTTTCATTATACACAAAGAATATTTGTGTTCATCTTTTGATTTCTAATATGCAAAAGAAAGTAATGCTAGTTTAAACATTTAACAACAACTCATAACACTGTACTGATGATTGTTTTTCCAGTGCCTAGTCAGCCACGTGAATTAAAAGCCATTTCCTCATCTTCAACAACTGTTGAATTATCTTGGAAACGCCCAGAACATTCAGGAGAAAATATTATAGGTTTTGAACTTTATTGGAATGATACCTTCACAAAGCAGCAATATCACCGTGTTATTCCTAACACTGAATCTTATACACTGACTGATCTTTATCCTAATACATTATATTATGTGTGGATTGCAGCGAAGTCTAAAAGAGGAGAAGGTGCAGCCACCCCATCTACTGCTGTTCGAACAGAGCAGTATGGTATGTTATATTTAAAGTATTTTAGTTACTGATAAAGTACATTAACTTGTTTGTATATATTTACTTTAAGATAGATAGGACCAGGCATAGCCAAGAGTTTAACATGTCTGGCTAAAAATGGGAAAGTTCAAGGTTTGAGCCCTTGATCTGCTATTAAACACATTCCACACTTTCAGCTGTGGGTGCATTATAAAAATGACAGTCGATTCTGCTATTTGGTTAAGAGTAGCCATGTATACAGTAGCTGATGCTATCTGATTGACTGCCTTCTTACCAGCAGTTTTAAATTAGGGATTGCTATGCGTGAACATTGAGGTCTTTGACCAGGCTGCTTAGTCCTTGTGTAGCATAAGGTGCCATTCAGATTGAAAATGTCAAGTAAGTTAAAAATAAGTTAATGTGAAGAAAATATATCTATAATGATAATCAAATTACTGAACGTTTGTTAATCTTGAGTATTTTTGGGGTGGGTGGGGGGTTATTGTTCTAAATGTAGTTTAGTGCACAAATCAAAACCAAAGGTTACTCTCTAACTTATAAAAGTTAATTGTGAAAATTAAAATGTTAGTAAAAAAATCACAGTTTCATCTATGTATGATTGTCAAATAGGATGAATAAAAGAAAAAACTAAAAGTGTTGAATAATATAACGTTTGAAAGTAAGCAACCCTCCATATTCGTACATATGAACTATTAAATTACTATAAAGAAAAATAGAATTATAATTTTATTTATTTATAGGTAGCTTTAAGGGTTTCATTTATGGTTGCATGAATGATGTGTAAAGTGTTACATTTCATATGTGCTTTGTGTTACTTATTAAATCATCATTTCAGCTTTGTCTTTTTGAACTAATTGCTCTATACTGTTTTACTGCCATTGGGGCTACATATGGTGTCTGATTATCATCTTTACACTAACCCCTGTAAGTTCTAAAGTCTGTATGGAGCAGACTATTCTTCATTTCACGACAACCTAAATTCCAAAAGTAAGTGACAATACTTGATAACTAGCTCCCTTTAAAGCACTGATCATTGTAAAGGTTTGTGGTCTGTCATCTTATTCTTGAAATGCAAACAAGACAAATCAATTGAAATTATTAAAATGTTATTTACAGATGTATATTTTATTATTTTAATAATTAATTTTATTACGCTTGAAAATCCATCTGTACATGGAATAAAACTTAATAGACCATAAACTTTAAAATGATTATGATTCACACTCACATAGTTAAATGGTTTGGTCAGTTGTCAGCTGCTTGGCAAGCTCCTGTCCATCCATCTACCCTTTGGCCTGTTGCACCACTGATACTAAGCATGTTTTTATATCCTAGCCTCACCAAGGCTGCACTGCCTTTCCTGCCTTCTCGCACCACCACCCAAAATTTTGCTGGACTCCAGAATACCAAGCAACAGAAAGGGGGAAAATCACTTAATTTTTTTTTCATAACCATACATACATAGCTTTCAAAGAGAAAATGTAGAAGCACATCTCTGTAATCATGGTCGTTAAAGGATATTAACTTATTTGTTAATCAAGATTTGGAGGTCAGAATTTCTAATCACCTGATTAAAAGCAAAACACCTAACTTACCATCATTTTAGTTTTTATGAAGGGAGTTCTTCAGAATGATGTGAACATCTCTACAGATTAATTTTATCACCTGTCACAACAACTGTTTGTAATTTTTCTGTTGCATAATATTGACATTTCAAATTACTTATCAATCTAAAGGTGTTGTCTTTAATGTACCAATTGAACATGCCTTAATATGTTGCAGGATGGGTTTTTCCATTGATATACAATTTCACCTATATAATTATGCAGTTCAGAATATGCAAAAATAGTCTTTTAGATACTGTTATAACTGCAACTGTCAACAAGATTATCTGATTGGAATTCATAAGATAATTTTTTAAATGCTTCAAAAAGTCCCATAGTTGATTAAAGGATCAGATCATACGTTAGATAATCTGATCAGAACAAGTTAATTTTTTTGTCTTGAGATATTGATGCAAATCAAATAGGTAAACAGAGGACCATATCTGAAAGTGTGCAAACCTTAATAAAGTTATTGAACAACTTGATAACTAGCCAGTTACCAGTATTTGATGCTTACCTCTATAATGGTAAATGACCACAAAAAAAGATACATGAAATAGAGATTTTGTATCATTCTTACCAAGTTATTTAAAAGAGTTATGGTAATCTGATATTACCTAATCAGTTTTAATACAAATTCAAATTTTCTCAGGTATATACATTGTCATTTATCTCTTTATGATAGTGATACAAGTCTTACAGTCAACTACATAATCAGAGCAGAATATATCATTTATACATTTAACATACTTAAGTGAATTTAAAAACTTTGTGTGTGAGCTATTTTAGTATAAAATACCATAGTTTGATGTATATTTGTTGATTAGTTTGTTGTTGTCATAAGACTAAAAAAGTTTATAACACACACAGAGAACATCAGGCGTTTCCTTGATTATTTCACCAGTGAATACATATTTTAGTTGTAGGCTAACGTGTATTCTCTGAACAAGGACATTTAAACACTGATCACATAAAAATGCATTTTCCCCTTTCTCTGTTGCCTTGTGACCTCACTATAACCACTTAACCTGGCCTTATCCACATTCTTCCATACTTTTACTCCTGCTCCTCTAGTATAAAATTGTATCTTTACAATTTTACATAGTTTATGTACTCAGAGAAGTAGATAACTTATGTTTTGTTCCTTTCTGATTAATAATGAAAAAAACACTAGCTAACAAATTCAAGTTTTTTCTCAGTTGTATATTTACAATTGAGGTAGAATAGAGTTTATTGTATATTTGAGATTTTGATTACCTTAGATAAAAAAATATTAATTACAAACTCTGTCAGTAAAACTGACATAATTAATAGGGTATTTTCTAAATCACTTTTAAAGTTTCATTTATATTAGTAATTTGAAAATAAAAGCATACAACTTAGTTAACTATAAACTATTTTTCTGTGTGTCACATTTACTTTCTTGAACAAGCATAACTGTTAGATATCTTTATTATCCAGGAATGTTTTTAGATTAGTTTACATTATGTTTTTATTTTTTTTAGTTTTATTCTTTTAAGATCATTATGTTATGCAATTTCCCTTTTGCACATAACTGGCACTGTCCACCCTTACCTTCCCCCTTCCCGCAGTGCCGGGTGCTCCTCCCCAAGAGATCCACGGCTATGCCTTAAACTCCCGATCCCTTCGCATCACCTGGCAACCCCCTCCCTTGGAACAACAGAATGGCAACATCTCCTACTATAAACTCAAGTACTTGAAAGCTGATGTGTCCAATGATTCAAGCAAGGCCCGTGAGATCCAAAGAGGGCCAGATGAACGCTCATTTACCATTGATGGACTGGAAGAATGGACAAGGTATTATGTCTGGGTGTTGGCGGGCACTGTCATTGGTGATGGTCCGTCTTCCAAACCTCTAAATATCTGCACTGAGGAAGACGGTAGGTAATTAGTGTTGTATGCATGTGAATTTGTGCTTTTTTTCACCCTGAGCAAGTAAATGTACCATACTTTCCAAGAACCTTATATAAATCTTTTGTATGAATTACTTTAACTTTTACAAGTTTACTTTTAAAATATTTGTGAATTAAAATTAAAATATTTAAAATAAAGATTGTTTTAAAACAAATATAACATATGATTGGGTAAAAATTTGTTTTATAAGTTAACCAAAGATCAATTTCTGCTACACTGTCAATCACTAAAAAATACTGTTGAATACTTGCCACTTTTTTCTGTCCTTAACTGTATAATTTATCTTTAAAAAAAATTGGTAATTACTTAGAGATTCAAGGGGTGTGATAAGTTATTAAAAGAAAATCAGCTACTTATTAAACATATACAAAGAGAGTAACTAGTTTTATATGTTTCTGGTAGTCTAAATAAATTGACTAAGTATAGAGAATAATTTGACCATGAATACATAAGAGAAATAGTGGATGAGAAATGCTTGGATGTCACTCTGTATTATAAATATAACATGTAAGTGTTTATAATATAATAAATATACATTTTGGGTTTATTTCAGCATTTTATCACACCCCTATTTTACCTATGAAAGTTTATGCATGATTCATCATTGAACCACTTTTTGTTTTTTTCCAATGAATAATGACCAATTTAATTATGCTTTTGGGATCTAAATAAATTGGCTACATGTAGAGAGTGAATTGACCAAACAAAATTAAGAGAAATTGTGGGTGAGAAATGCTTATGTTTCACTCTATAGATGTATTATAAATATAAAATGTAATAGTATAATCATTATACATTTTAGTTTTATTTCAGCCACACCCCTTTTTATCCATGAAAGTTTGTGCATGGTTTATCATTGTGCCACTTTTCTTCCAATTTTTCCTTTCACTCATGCATGCACTTAATTACCTTTTTCTTCCTGGTTTTTTATATGGCAGCTGGCAACATTTTCTTCCTTGTTGTGCATACGTTTTGTGTAAAGATGAGGGTGCACAACCCACTGCAATTTATAAGATAAATAGGCTAAAGATGAAGATTGTGTTGCTATTTTCAGTGAAGAATAAAACATTGAAATGCTCACATTCAGAATAAATGTGGGCTGTATATTATGCTTATGGCCTTGTTAATTTTCTGAAGATATGGGAACATGCAGAATATATTTTTGTTTTGTGTATGTATGTATATATATACATATGTGTGTATATGTGTGTAAACTAAAATTCAGTTAAATGATACAACAACAAAAAAAAGAAAAAAATATTTGAATAAATTCGTAAACAGAATATTTTAATTTGAAGATAATTATATATATATATATATTGTAGAACATAACATTTGAATACTTTAAACATTCACGAGTGTTAGTTAGTAAAGAATTTTTCATTTGTCCAGAAAACCAAAACTAATCCCTAACATTCCTTTGTACAATATATTATTCACCATTGTCTTAAAAACATCTGAGTAACAAAAATCAAGAATGTCAACCAATTCTTCATTTGTGTTTATGTGCATTGGGCCCAACATTTGTTAGAAAAAATGGTTGTTGAGGAGCAGTGCCTATATGTTTTTGGAAAAAAAAAAAACAAGCTTCGCTGAATAATTTAAATTGTGTTAGCTTCAAGTTTTTCACTTTATACAAACATTAAACATTATACAAATTAATAAATGGATTTTACAATAGATTTATATGTTTTTCCTTGTTATACTTTAACCCTTGATGTGCTTTTATGACTTTAATGTCTAATACAAAGTAATTAATATTAGATTTTCAGAAAATGTAGGATAGAACATTAAATACACAAACATTAAATTTTGTAATCTTCTTAATATATAGAAATGCTTTTGCTTAACATTTCAAACTATAAAAATTGCTAACACATTCTATTTATCCCTCAGAAGATCTTTAATTAGTTGTACACAATTTATACAACTGTATAACAACTGCATACAACTGTAGTTCTAGTTTTCATAAGAATTAGTACTTCATTTGAGAAATGGATGGAACTCTGCAGAATAATCATTAAATAAAATTGTGCTTCAAACTTTCAATGATTATTTGGAGTTGTCCTTTAATTTATGAGATTATATATTCACAATTTAATCAAACATTTTTACTATGTATGTAAAGTTTTGGGCCATTAAGCTCATATTTGAAATATTTTAAATTATAAAATATAGTGTTTGTGGGAAAATGTTTTGATGAACATTTTACAGGTTATATTTTTGTCTAAATATTAATTCTTTCAGCACTAATTATGTGTTTAATAATTAAGACTATGAAATGTACTGTTAAAACTATGAGCATAGGAAACTATGATGAGCAAATTGTAGAATATTCTACAAAGAACTTGAGATCTGATAAAAAATAACAGTCTACTACAAATTGTTTTCTTGATTTAATATTTTAGGAGAACAGATATTTTTTATCTTAGATGTTATAATACACCCAACTAAGAGTTGACCTGTATTTTTTGAGAAAGCTGAAAATTATGTATAAACTACTTTGTGATGTGTAACTTTTGATACATTATGCTGAGATCAAAGCGGTGAATTTAACCTAATTGCTATTATGTAAGGCAAGTTTTCCTGAACAAGTGATTCATCCATCTGTATTACATGCTTTGTTCAATAGGGAATAACTACAATACTAAAGGTAGGTATTATTAGCCAGAATTTGAGTAAATAATGATTTTCTAGTCTGGATAGAGAGTAGTTTCCAGAGGATTCAAGATATGATTACTCAGTTGGAAGATGAACACCAATTTATTGAAAACTAGGTTTAAATTTCACTCAGGAAAGATAATATTCATTCTAGATATTTTAATGATAAAAACTGGCTTTTTCTTAATGACAATTATTTTTATAGCGATGATTTAATCTCATATCTTGCATTATTCAGAATATACAGTATCCACAGTTTGAGAAAGAAAAAATAATCTTTCTTTCAATACCATTTGATGTATGGATGTGGGTGTATTTAAAGTAGAAATTTTGTAATTATTGATATGGTCAGCTATATTGTATAAATAAATATATATGTTTAATATGAAACCATGCAAAATAAACATAGAGAATGATAAATGATAAAGGTGCTGATTAAAATCATACACTAAATGATGTATTGGCCAAGTAAAGGTATATGATTAATATTAAAATTATAGAGTCAAATATAATTAATAAGTGAAAGTATGTTTAATATGAAATTAATACAATTGAATATACTGAATAAATAAATGAAATATTAATAATAAAATCATTAAATCATGTAGTTAGTAATAAAATTATAAAGTTAAATATATTTCATAAATTAGAATATTAATTTAATATTAATATTAATATAGTTAGATACAGTAGCTGGATTAATGTGCATTCAATGTAACATAAGTCATCTTACTCAATAATTAAAAGTAAAACATTCAAAGATCGAAAGGTATAATCATACTACATTGTATTACTTGATTATTTGATTCACAAATCAATAGCCTTTTCTCTTGTAGCTACAGGAATTGTTTGTTTACTGGTAAATGTTTGGCTTTCCTGACTATGAATATATTTCATAAATACTATTATATCCATTTATATCTTACATGTATAATTTTTGTATGTCGTTGTTATATTTTCATGACCTTTAATAATGTGATTATTGTTACCAAAGATATCAAGTCAATTAATTTTTTTGTATTTATTTTGGATGTGATCATTATTGGTTTATGGTTATGAATTTCTAACAGGAACTAGTGTATTTAACTTGTTTTTAAGAAATGTTTGCACAAAATATTTTAGTTTGTGAGAATTATATGAAAAAGTTGGATATTTAATTTTTTTGATTTAACTATGGAATTTGATCATTCAGTGCCAGGTGAACCTCGACATGTTCAGGTAATACCCATCAACAGTACCTCTCTAAATGTCAAGTGGAAACCCCCATCAGTCCGTGATAGGAATGGACTAATCAGGGGCTTTCAAATTCATGTGCAAGAAAAAAATACGGATGGAGATCTAGTCAATGAGCCTATTAGGTATGATGTAGCCAATGAAAAAGCAGAAGAGTATAATGTCACAGGGCTGCAGCCAGATACAAATTATGCTGTGCAAGTGGCTGCTGTGACTCGTAAAGGAGATGGCACAAGGAGTCACCCTCAAATAGCTAAAACAACTGGTGGAGGTAAAACTATGGCAGGTTATTCTAACTGTATTATATACAATAAGTTATTATGTCAAACTTAAATCATATACTGTAATAAAAATCATCTTTTTTTTTTATCTTTTTCTTATGGTTTGTGTCCCCACCCCCACCCCAGTCACTCAGCAGTAATTCTGTAGGCTTATAATACTAAAAACCAAATTTCAGTGCACAGGACAGATAGCTCAGTGTGTAGCTTTGTGCTACAAACAAACAAATCTTATTGTTTGAAAATATTTTTATGAATCATATATTTTGTTAGAATTGCCCCCAAACAGGTAGGCATTAAGTGGCATTTCTGGCCTTCCATAGGAACTTCTTTTATCCAGGAGGGATAGGTGACTCTCAATGAGCATGAAGTTGTCAGGTATCACTTACACATGAATTAAGTAATGACAGACAAGTAACACTTTAAAGATACGATGTTATAAAGATGTGATGAATGAAAATTTATATCTTCTAAATAAAGCTTTTATTGTTGTTTTGGTCCTTATAGGAATTCCTCTATGTGAAGGTGACTGCTGCTGCACCAACTTGCACCCTCTACACAAATCTGGGGGTGGGGACATTTGCTCTACAGTTTCTATGTCACTGTAATTACCTAACTTTTTGTTTCTGTATGTGGGTTGACTAAGATCAAATTAATCTATAGGCCTTTAAAATAATTCCATAAAAATACCTAAATGGTAAAATATTCATTTTTTTTTAGATTATTCTATTTGCATTGATACATCAAAAAATCTATGACAAAAACAAAGACTTGTTACTGCTAATAAACATTTATATTTTTATTGGTTTCTATAAGTATTTTTATTCAGTTCTAATTGTACAATACAATTTAGCAGTCATATAATTGAAATGGATCAGATGCTATTATATATACACACACACACACACATTTAAAAATTTAAATAGATTTTCATAAATAAAGCTCATTAATTTGTATCTTTTTCACTGTGTAGAAAGTTATTTGCCTACTGTGGAATAAGCCTCATAATGTTTTGCTATTTACAACATTTTCAGAAAGGCAATCCTGTGAAATGCCTTTGATGTTTAATACAAAAATGTGTTGGCTTTTCATTATAAGTGACGATGTTGTGTATTAATATGCTTGCATATGTTAATGTTGGTTAGAAATGACTTAAAGTGTTAAAATTATATTTTCAGTAAAAATTTGTCTCCAGAGTAGACAGAGCAGTGTTTTAGGCTCCATCAGATGGTGCCAAACAAACAATAAAATAATATTACCATAATGGTGGCCATATTTTTTCAAAATGAATATTCATTGTTTTATCTCCCAAGACCAAGATTTGTGAAGTAAAATAGTTCACTAGACACACAGACTCATCCACCATTATTCCAAGATCCATTTTCTTCAGTCAAACTTTTGAGTGGGTGGGCTCTCCTCTACAGTGTGATAAATTATAATACCTCAAATGTATTACCTTACACTTACTATTATTAAAGGTCATTTATCAGGTATATGTTCCAACTTACCAATCAATCCAAATCATTCTTTAGTACCTCAACATCTTCAATATAACCCAAATATTTAATTTCATCATCAAACTTTTATAATTTATTAATTATACCCATGTTAATATCATTAATAGAAATAATAAAAAGGTCCGAAGAATTGACCCCCATGATACACCACAAGGAGAAAAAGGCACAATTGGACATTAATAACAACTTTTTGCTCTCTTTCTCACCCAGCCACCCTACAATTCAGTCAATCACACACACCCCCCCCTCTCAACCCCAATCTGATTTTCATAGCCAATTTGTGTGGAAGTTTTTCAAAATCTTTCTGAAAATCCAAGTACACGTGCTTTCTATTATTTAAATAACAAGTAACATCCTCAAAAAAGTCAGCAGATTAGCAAAGTAGATTTTACTTTAGTGAATCCATGATTGCTTTCATTTATAGTATCACATTACATAACATGCTTGAAACCATTGGCACAAACCTACAGAAGTGACTATTCAATTTAAAACAATTTCAATTCCTCTAATTTTCTAGCACTTGATACTTAGCTGTATACTGGTTAGGCACACCAAAAGAAGCATCTTAGACAGTTCCCATAATATATTAAATAAGCTAATTTCTTCAGCCTTTGTGTGTGCTGTCAGTATGTAGTGCATCAGTTATATGGCTATAGTTATAAATGAAGCAATCTTTAAACATTATAGTAGCTCAACATATATAACCCTTGTCCACTGATATTCTTTGTTTTGTAAATATGTTGTATAAATATATTGATCCAAAGAGTAATTAACCCAAGAAGTTCAAGCAATTTAGAATGTTGCTTCATTTTTCTTTAGGAGCTCAAATAGTAAGAGCTGCATATTTTGGTAATTAGCTATATAACAGATAAATTCTATAATGTTTCATTAAACAATTCTACCTCTTGTTCCTGATATAGAAGGGACTACCTTTGAAAAATTTTGAGCATTTTTAGCCATTTTTTTATTATTACATTCAGTTTTATTGATTTATGATACTATCTTATTCAAAATGAATTTGAATATATGTCTTAGTGGTATGATTACCGTGAAACAGTATCCTAGCCCATCTCAATGGATAACACAGATACTTGTACAAATTGGTATGATGTTGTGGTTTTCTTCCCTGTCTATGTTATTTGGAATATTCAGTGATGTATGTAGCTATGGGTATGAAATACGACACTTGAACTCTTTATTTGAATTAAAAATGCAATAGATTATAATTCTCACTGTCCTTAACCTGTGTGGATGTTTTAAGAGATTCCTCTATGCCACAGCAGCCAATGACAAGTAATTATACAGAACATGCAAGCCAGCCAGTAAGTTAAGAATTGCACAATTATTGTGAATAAAGATGTTCTTTTCCTGAATTTGCGTTTTTGTGGAAACTTTTGGCTCCTATTTGGATATCAGTGTATCTGAATACCTCACTGGATATGAAAAAGTAAACAGATGTATACATGTGTACACTGTGCAAAAATACATCAAATTTTAGATATTTGTCAGTGCGAACCTGTGCCTTCTCATGACATAGGCTTTTCACTATGAAATCACAAAGATACATCTTAAAAGATTTCCCATGATACTTTAAAGGAAACATATCGACTGTACTTTCTAGCCTTGAGCTTGTACATTAGATATGATGAAACACTCAAAAGAACTAACATCAGTAGATAAATATATTAAAGGATTCCTGAATTTCAAACTTACTTATATTGCATGCAATTCTATGCTATATTAAGATACACATATTTTGTAAATATAATTTTGAGAATAAAGAACAAAGTGTTTTATTTTCAATTTGAATTTCATTTAGTCAAAATACTTTCCAACTAAATTCTGCAGTACCATCCCTTGTTGAACTTTGATAATTATTTTAACACTGAGATTTAAGTTGTTTTAACTGTATTTTGGTGTGTACCTTCATTTCAAGTGTATGCTATATAAGTAAAATGTTCATTTATTGAAAAATAATTGTAACCAGATTTACTGGAAATCCATAAGAGTTTAATTATATAAAACATGAAATTATTGATAATTAAAATGAAAAGTCTAGAATATACTCTTTCTTGGTTTACTTTTAATTTTTCTTTATTGTTTTAGATATCAAATGATATTCAAAAAATAAATAATACATTAATTCAAAAAAATAACTAAATTCGTTTATTTAGTGTCACTTACTGATTTTTAAATGCTGTAACTTTGATCAGTTCCAACTAGGCCAGAGTTAGTATTAAAGGTATTAGAAGAAGACCCTCGGGTGAAAGTAAACGTGTCCTGGCTCCATCCTTCTCGTGTTCATGGTGTTCTTAAAAGGTACCGTTTGAAGTTTGGTCGTTTAGATGGAACTCACAAAGAAGAAAGAGAAATCCAACCTAATGAGACAAAGTTGATAATTGAAAATCTAGGTAAATGATGATGTTTATTGGTAATTATTTATAACATAGCACTTTTCTAAATAATAATGGAGGTAGATCGGACCTTTGCCACATATATGCAATGGTCTGGGAGTGTTTAAAATTGGTATCAGCCCTAATAATTTCTGTTTGTATTCTCTATTTTTTCTATTGTAATATAATATGAAAATATATGAAAGTAGTTGTCTAAAGAATCACTTAAAAGTGAACAACACTCATTTGTGTGAAATAACATTACCTAAAAAGTCTAGTACATGACCAGTCCTGGTCTAAATATTAGCTTGAAGGAGCAGACACTCGAGTCATATTTAAGCATTCACAGCTGAAATATTTTCAAGCTTACATGATACTGTATTTTCAAAAGAAGTTCAAGTTAATGATTATGCTTCAATAAATAACAAAAAAAGTGTTAACATTATACATACACCAACAACATTATCACTGTAATGTTGTGTGTATGAGCCATTGTCAGTATTTAACAGTACATCACGATTAAGAATTACATTGTGTTCTGTAATTTGGCCATTGTCAAATAAATTGATATTACATCACTGAATAACCCACGAAACATTTAAACTGTTACTGTGACCCCTCTGGTTAGGGCTATATTTTGCATTAGACAAACTAGGCTGCTGCCTAGGGCCTCTTGCTTTTAAAGTGCCCCACATGTGTAAAGCCTGGGTGAACAATTATTTTACAAACGTATAGTTTTCATGGGAAAAAAAAGATAGGAAAAAGCAAATTGAAATAAAAAATAGGCAACTGAAAAACAGGTTTTTTTTTAGTAGATAGTTTAGGCAGAATACTCTCATTGAATTGACTGTGAAATGGGCAGCAACTGCGTATTAGAGAAACTAGAGTAACTATACAATCTAATTATGTAGCTCAAGCATAGAGGATGACATTTTGAAAGTCTTCAGCCTTTTGTCTTCAGGTCAATTTGTACAAGAAACTGCATGCCAAATATAGTATCTAGGTGGACTGAGATGGGTATGCTTTGATTGGTTGTTTGCTCCTGGTCCTGATTGATGAAGCAACTGAGTGTGGATTCAACCAATGATAGCTATAAGTTGCTGTTTTTAGGTCTGAGTCTCTGTTTAATGAAGGTTTTACTGTGCTGATGTAGAAAGATTCCTTTATTTTTCTTGTTTTCCAGAATTTGTTTGGGTCAATTATTCTAGCTTTGTCTGAGTTTATTTTGTATCCAATTGACATAGTTTGTTCTGCAACGGCTTAATTCTGTGTTTTTATTAGTCTTGTACTGTTTTTGTGTTCTTTTATTCTTGTCTTGAGTTGTCTTCCCATTTCTCCAATGTTGTTTTCGTTACAGGAACATGGAATTTCATAGGTTATGTTTTTATGTTTCTCATTAGTGTGTTTCTGTCTAGTTTTGACCAGGTTAGATTTTATTGTTTTGTGCAGTTGTCAGCAGATGTCTACATTGAACTTCTTGGCTACATGTTTGAGTTTTTCACTTATATTTTGCATGAATATTAGCAGTATTGATCTCCTTTTTTTTCTGTTGTGGTCTATTTTCGGGAATTGGTTGTGAAGGTAGAAGTATAACCATTCTGTTTAAAACACTTTATGATGTTTTGACCTGGTTTTATAGATATTTCACTGCAGATCAAGCAGTTAATAGATGGACACTAATACAAAAAGACCACCAATGATCCTACAGAAAAGATAGAGACTCAGTAGAACACTAAACAAACTCAAGAAATGAAACTCAATCAATGAAAATTCGACCAAGAACTTACGAACCAGCAACAACTACCTTCCACAGTTTTATGGACTACCTATAATATCTTTAAGACCTATTGTCAGTACAATAAACTCACCTTGCCATCAGCTTACAGCCTTCTTGGCACTTATCCTGTCATCATTTCAAGGTATTACTGAACATCAGGTTCACAACTCAAAATATTGCACATTGGATTCCAGGATATTCTTCTCAATTTTGACACCAGACAATGATCCATCATCAGAAACCCCTTACAATACCAAACAACAACTGCTGAATGACAAATCTCTGACACACAATACTGATATGAAAATAGATGCCATCATGTCTATAGTCAACTTACCTTCAATACAATGAAGATTTCTATAAATAAATGAACAGTCTAGCCATGGGATCACCGCTTTCTCATGTTTGAGCAGATATTTTAACAGAAGACTTTGAAGAAAAAGCCCTCCAAGCTCTCAATATAAAACCAAGTTTTTATAAGCACCATATTGATGATACCTTTGTTATCTGATTCTAATACCATGAAAACTTACTAGCCTTTCTAATACATTTTAATTCTTCTATAGACAAAGAATCCACTTCACCATGGAAATAGAGAAACAAACACCCTACCATTTATTGACATACTCATCAGAAGACAGACAGAAACAATTGCTATAATTGTATGCAGAAAACCAACCAACACCGACATATACCTATATTTCCAGCCCTAGCATCCAACTTTAGTCAAACATGGTATAATAAAACCTTCATTAAACAGAGACTTGGGCCAGAAATCAGCAACTTATGGCAACCACTGGTTGAATCCACATTCTGTTACTTCACCAAACAGGACCAGGAACAAACAACCAATCAAAGCATATCTATCTCAATGCACCTGGATACTATATTAGGCATGCAGTTTCTTGCTCAAACTGACCTGAAGATGAAAGGCTGAAAACTTTCAAAATGTTATCCTCCATGCTTGAGCTACATAAGTAGATTGTATAGTTACCAATATATTTCTAATAGACAGTTGCCACCTATTTCACACTCAACTCAAAAAATGGGTTTCATCTATTTTTATTATGTTTCGTGTTTAATTCCACAAGTAGCTTTTACTTGTCATATATTGGAGGTGGTGGGAGCTCTTGAAAAACTTACTTCTAGGGCCCCAAAAATTCTAAATATGATCCTGCCTCTCAGCTGGTAAGCTTACAGGCTTAAAATGTTTAAATGTGGTGTTTAATTCCATGCATCAAACAGAGTGCACATAGTCCACTGTGTAGTTTTGTATTAAAACAACAACAAAGTTACTGTGAACGACCTATATATAATTGATGATTAACAGATCAAGATTAGGAACTTTAGTGTTGTATGTGATACATTTTCACATGAAGAGATGTCATTGTTGATCGGAAACCACATTCATGTGTATAAGCCATGTCACATAAACTGATATTATAATTCAAAAATTAATGAAGATTAGCTGAAGTTTTGGGTGTAATTCAGTCAAATGAAAGGATATAGTCAATATTGAATAATTAATCAAAGTAAGAAATGTAGTGCTGATATCATTATTGTATAACATATGAAAATTAGGAACTGTGGCATTGCGTACAATATATATTGTTATATATATGAACAGATACCACTGTTGAATGACACATCAAGACCAAACATTGGGTGTTATGTATAAACTATTACCAAAACAAAAAGTTGTTGTTGTTGACTAACATTAGACCAAACTATTTATTTCTTCTTGTGTGTTGTAAATTAAGAGGGGTTAGTTAAAGTCAGATTAGTTGTTTGGTTGTGTTAGGTAGACTTCACAGTATGTTTAATGAAGTATTTTTTTATTATAGAATAAATTAGTTATTTTAAGTAGAGTATAAATATTTTTACTAGTTATTGTATAATTTTGTTATTCATTTAAATTATTATTTATTGTTATATTTTATCTTCACAAACATTAGCTTTTACTGTATAATTGATACTTGAAACCATCGGTACTTGGTGAAACTCCATAACTAAAGAATTGAGGAAAAACAAGACAATTTTACGTTTCACAAATACATCATCAATGTCTTTTGCCAGGAAAGGCATCATTAGGTACAGAGAAAACCGTGGTCATGAATAAATGATGTATTTGTGAAACATACAATTGTCTTCTTTTTTTACTCTACTTTCTGCATCTTCCTGTTACCTTGCTGACTTATAATTAAACAGTAACACACGTCATAATAAATTACCTTAGATGGCAAGCTTCTCTAAATATCACTGTTGAAACAATTTAATGAGTTTTCATTGGTCACAAGACATTGTATGAAGGATTGTATTAAGGTTGTATATACTGATGTCCATGTTTTCAAGAAATAATGAATTGATGTTAGTACAGGAAGCAAAGAACTAGTTTTTATATGTTCTGTAAGTAAGTTACACTTTGTTCTGTTATATGTATATAAAATATTGTTAAGAGTATGGGTACCCAACCAATGAAACAATACGTTATGATCATTATAAGCAAGAATGAAAGAACAGTTTATTAAATGGTGGGATGATTTTTCATCTTGATTTGTGTAGATAGTTTGCTTTGATCAGAAGCTAATATTAATTGTTGTTTCATTTGAATTACTATCAGAAGAACTGATATTCTTCTTGTTACATAAATACATAAACATTGGGTGTTTCATATGAGTTATTGTAAGAACTGATATTCTTGTTGTTACATAAATACATTAACATTGGGTGTTTCATACGAGTTATTGTAAGTAGAACTGACATTCTTATTGTTACATAAGTACCAAACATTGGATGTTTCATATGAGTTATTGTAAGAAGAACTGATATTCTTGTTGTTACATAAATACCAAACATTGGATGTTTCATATGAGTTATTGTAAGAAGAATTGATATTCTTCTTGTTACATAAATATATAAACATTGGGTGTTTCATACGAGTTATTGTAAGAAGAACTGCTATTCTTCTTGTTACATAAATACATAAACATTGGGTGTGTCATATCAGTTATTGTAAGAAGAACTGATATGATGAATAACATATCAAGACTGACATTGGGTGTTATGTATATGTCAGATGAACTAATGTTCTTATTGTTGATGTTCATTGTCGTGCTTTAATAGAAATTATGGCTCAGTGCATTAAAAGATGACTATGAAGTCACATCATTCAATATTATTGACCATAATTTAAAGAAAGAAAGCCTCTTTTAGGATATTTATTACATGGTATTGCTTTGAATTTTACTTCAAGTTAAAACGTTTTCAGTTTTTCATGTTTTGATGTATTCAACCTTTAATAACAAATATATTTTAGTTTTTAAACAATTTACAATATATTCACAGTTAAGGCTTGAAATTGAGTAAAAATCTTGCAAAAAGGGACACAGGAAAGAATAACTGTAAAATGTACATTTCATTGAAGTTAATTTTGTCAGGATTGACTGTTGTTTAATACCACTGTAAGTTGTTATGTAAAATGTACATTTCATTGAAGTTGATTTTGTCAGGATTGACTGTTGTTTAATACCACTGTAAGTTGTTATGTAAAATGTACATTTCATTGAAGTTGATTTTGTCAGGATTGACTGTTGTTTAATACCACTGTAAGTTGTTATGTAAAATGTACATTTCATTGAAGTTGATTTTGTCAGGATTGACTGTTGTTTAATACCACTGTAAGTTGTTAAGCTTTATCGTTTCAGGTTATGATATTAACATTGCTTAAAAGAAACTACTATCTTAAACTAAGTTTTTTCTGTTTTTTTTTTTTTAGATTGTGGTGCAAAATATGAGTTTCGTCTTGCTGGAAAGAACCAGATTGGATGGGGCCAGGAAGCCATTGACTATTTGAAAACACCAGAAGGTCGTAAGTATTGTTTATTAAAAGACAAAAAAGTTGTAAGTTGTTTTTCGAGAACCAAATTCTTATCCCTAAAGACATGTTACAATAATTGTTGAATTACAAAAATCATATATTTTATACAGCAATGAATCTATAAAATCTTGATATATATGTTGTAATCAGTAACTTTTGTAGAAGGAAGCACAATAATTTTAACTCAACATAAAACATTTACCCCACTAGTTTATATAAGATTATACAAGTCTTCTCATTCTCTCATATGTACGTATGTTAAATAGTTTCAGCACAAAATATCAAACACACAACATTATTAATATAGTACTAGAAAACTTTGTCAGAAAACATTAGATGGAATATTATTAAAGAAATAATACAGGCATTCCTTTCAGTTCCTAGTGAGTTAAAGAAGTGCTTTCTTTATTTCGTAGGTCCAACAGCTCCACCACAAAATATCAGCCATCATCTCCAGAGTCCAACCACTGTTGTAGTTACGTGGAGTCCACCACTGAGACAGTATACAAATGGAAAAATTCTTCAGTACCAGATACAGTTCCATAAGGCTTCAGATCAATCCCATGAGGCAAAGAATACAACTTTAACCCGCCTAGTCTTTAGGTACATGTCATAGTTATTATTTTTTGTCCATTTATAGGTTTGAAACTAACATGTTTCAAAAGATATATGTTTCTCAGAACTAACTTTGGGATATGTCAAACAGATTTAATTAATATTGGGTGTGGAATGAAATTTGTTAAGTAACTGTTATAATTTAGTACAACTATAGTAAAAGTAATAATAAATCAGGTACTTTAAATATGAAATATGTTAAAATACAAAAATTAGTGCAATTTGAAATTAATAAGCTCATGGTAAACATAACAATGATATTTACTTCAAATTAATAATTTAAATCTGAAACCAACTTCTGTTTTTTAACTAGTGACTTGGATGAAAACACAGAGTACTTGTATCGAGTTCAGGCTCAAACCTCTGCAGGATTTGGACCCTGGAGTAGACATGAAAATGTTCATACCCCTGGTGATGTTCCATCTGCACCCACAAATGTCCAGGCAATGGCCACTTCTGACCAATCTGTAGAAGTTTGGTGGGATGAGGTTCCTTATTTTTTGGATATCCTGGGGTATCAGGTAAAATACTAATTATTTTTGTGAACTGCATTTATTTAGCACTCAAATTGGGTGTTGATCGATGTCTTAAATAACATTTGACCTAAATCTTTAGGTCACAAAATCATCTAGTGTAATTTTTTGGTGATGTAATGCTTACACTAGTGATTACTGTAACCATGCCATATGAACAGTAATAAGTATGATAGTAATCACTTATTGAATTCTCAACCACTTAAGATAATGTCTCTCCTGTATGTTTTCAGAAATATTATATTGGCTATAAACTGAAAAACAAATGTGTGAATAAGTGAATTTTTTGTGTTCTGTCTCTAATTGTCTTCAGATTCAATTGCACTAGTTCCCAAACGTTTTTGACTTAAATGCCTCTAAACTTACCTTCATCTGTGATACTGATAGTAAACATAACAATGTTGTTATGTTTATTATACAGAGCATTATTACATGTCTATTCACTCACTCTCATCTCTATCTATACATTTTGTTTTTATATGAAGTGATCCAGCACATTTAATTTTCATATGAAAATGTCACAGAACTTGTTTTTGCACTGGGTGCAAATAAGCTGAAACTGCAATAAAAAAAGGCATCTCAAACCATGGCTATCACATGGTGGCAGTGTTGTAATTTTAGCTGTTTTCTTTTACCAGTGCACTATTTTATTCATGTATTTTACTTTATTGTATAATGTGTTTTATTTTGCATTGTTATTTGAAGTAGCTTGTGTATCACTGGTTTGAAATCAATGTTTCAGAGTTTAATAGACAATAAATATATATTCCAACTTCATTTGCAGTGTGCTTATACTGTGTATTAATGAGTTATCACATTGCCATGATAATTAGCTGTGACATGGCAAACTCAATTTTACAGAGCATGTCATCATGCTGATGTTATTAAAATATACAACAGAGATGAGTGTGAACTTACATGTGATGTATTAACATTATAAACAAACCAAGTTGTAGGAGTAAACTAAATAGGATTCTATCACTCAATTTGTGTATTCTAAGTTTATATGAACATTTGTTTTTAATCATTTAATCTCTTTGTCCTAAGTCATAATAATTAAAACTTCTGTATTCTATATCATGAATATTCAAAATACATTGATTAAAATCTTAATCTATGTATTAAAGGTTCTGAATTTCTAAATTGTTTTCATAAATAATTATCTTGTATATTTTATGTATTGAACATTAAAACTTCTTTCTTTAATAGTCTTTCAACCTTTTTTGTTTTTAGGTCCAAAACATTTAAACTCTTTTCATTAATCATCATTCATACTGTTCTCTACTATAATTTATAATCATTTGACATTGGAATTCTAGGTAAAGATCAACCTACATACGGTAAAACTTTAATGTAAAAAGTTATTTTTAGATGGTACCTAAACTTTTTTTTTATTGTGTATTTTGTGGTCATTAATTATACCACCCTGTGTTCTTGAATCTGAACTTATAATATGCATTCAGTAATGATCACTTGATCTTTATTCTAGGTACTTTATGCACAAACTGCTGGAGAGGATCTTGATCAGTGGAGGAAAAAAAAAGTTCCACTTACCTGGTCAGCAGAACTAACTGGACTTGACACTCATGGTCAGTACTCTATCAGAGTTGGAGCATACACTAGACAGGGCTTGGGAAGGCTTTCTGAGATAATAACTGTCAAGGTTACTCCTCAAGGTAAGCATAAAGATTTCTCACTATGTATTACTTACTTACTTTGAACTACATTTTGGATGCATATTTATACATAGCCCAACTGAGGTCTAGAATTTTCTACATACTATGAGATATTATGATATAATAATACTCAAGAAAAAGTTAGCAGATTCAATTAACATGATGCAATAATACAAACACCAATTTACAATTGAACTACACAATGTATGATTTGTACACAGTTATGTAAACATACCTGCAATAAGCTCTCACTGCTAAAAAACAAAATTTAACACTCGCACTATACTTAAATTAAAACAGTCATATATATATCTAACATTAAATAAGAGTATAAAGAATAAGATCAAAGAAAAGCATTATAGATTTAAGAAGTTTAAGATGACTGTTATGATGGAATATTTAGAGAGTTAGAGATTATCAAGAGAGTGGGTTAAATGGTAAATTAAGAAATCTAAAAACTGTATGAAAAAGATGGCAGAAAATGTAAAAATTAATAGTAAGGATTTCTTTAAATACATTAAGGGTAAGAAAAATGTTAGGATTGGAGTAGGGCCTTTAATGTATGACACAGAAAGGCTCATATCTGATGATTATTGGATAACTAAGTTATTAAACTACTTTTTCTTCAGTTTTTTACTAAAAAAGATTTAAGCAATATTCTTCATTCTGAACACTTGTCAATGGAAACAAGATGTAATACATGTCTAAAGAGATTATAATTTAATTGTATGGATCATTAGTTAGTCCACATTTGGAATATTGTCTTAGGCTTCTTACCTTAGAAAGGACATCGAATTGTTAGAAAGGATTCAGATGAGGACATCATACCTGGGATGGAAAAGGAAAGGTTAAGATATCTGAATTTGTTTTTCTTGAACAAAAGAAAGAGTTAGAGGGGGATCTGATTGAGATTCTTAAGATTGTTAACTGATAGTGTTGATGCATTATCTTTCTTTTTTATTGTAGTTAATGGTGAGAATGATAAGACAAGAGGGCACAAATATAAATTTTGGCAGGGTAGGCATCCTTTTTAACTAAGACAGCTATACATGGTGGATATAGTTAATTTAAGGGAGTTTAAGGGAATTATGAGAGTTGGCTTTGAGTTTTTATTTTCATATTAAGTTTTAGTGACTGGGAAAGCCTCAGTGGACCAAGAGGTCCCTTATTGTCATTAAATTGTGTGTGAATATATATAAACATGTTAAGAAACTGATTTTTAACGTTTTTGCATCTTCTCCTTAATTCTTATTTAATTTGTTGCTTTTGTCATATTTTTAACACGTGTGAATGATAAAATAAATGCCCACTAGAAGTATTACAAAGGATAAAGTATGCATTATTTAGTCTGTTTAAGATACAGGATTACTCTGACATTCTTCATGTATAAAATGCAAAAGTTTCATCTTACATAATTTTTTTGCATCAGTTACAAAAGATGCTGGTATACTCAACTTTCATATTTAATTTTAAAATTCGGAAGTTAATTGTTTTCCAAGGTATGATAATAAGAAACTTACATTTGTAATGATCAGTCAGAAATTAGATATGTTAAAGAATTAAAGAAAGCATGGCATAATAATTATTGTACCTTGTTACATGTACACTTATCAACTTGTGCTCAGTGATGATTAGCTCCTCATAACCAGTTTAGATTAATTTGTCTTCAAAAGAATTTACACGCCCGAGATTAAAAAAAGTAAATTCTCAATGGTCGATAAAAGCTTATTTCTACTGAGCCATTACAATCATGTAAATATCACACCTATATCATCACCATCATCCAACTGACATAAATAGAAACCATGGGATTTCTTTTTTTACTGATAAATGCTCTTGATCAATAGTGTTATAAGTAAGCTAAAATATATATTTCTACTTGTAATGTTTTTGATGACTTTAGGGTAAAAGTACTCTCATGTGATTATAAGTTACTTGATCTCTAGACGTTCCAACACATCTTCAAGCTTATGGAATTACAACACACAGTATGAAGCTTTCATGGCGACATCCTTCCAAACTAAACCCATACAAGTACAAAGTAAGTAAAAATTATATGACTAACATATTTAATATTCTTGCTCATATAAAATGTACAAAATGTATTTACATTGTTCTTCTATTGTGCATTGAAAGCTTGGTATTACTGAATTTTTTGTTCTTATTCTAGATTTTGTAATGAAAGCATAAAAAACAAAATCTTACCATTGTTTGATTAAACTGCAACATTATTATGATTAATTTTAAAAAGTTCCCAATAGTTTCATTTTTTCAGCATCCTAATTGGTCAATCCAAGAAACAATGTGTCATGGTAATCAAATTTCATTATAGTTAATACTGGAAGTTTCACTTGAAAATTATAAATTATAATTTTTGTATTAAACATAGTTTTTAATTGAGTGTTCTACTTTAGATTGCTCTTTTCACCTTCACTACCTAACCTTAAATCTTTTATGATGGACAAAAAAGCAGTTGTTTCAATAGTACTAACCAGTCAGAACCAGTACAATCTTTTTAGATTATTCAATAAAATCAACATAATCGGGTAATCAACACAGTCCAAACTATCCAGTCAGACTCATTAGAAATAGCAATGTATGAAGTTAGATCCTAGACCACCAGAAATATATCCACTAACAATCATTATCATTACCTTTTAACCTACCCAATTAAGCATTGTTGCAGATTATGTATATTTATTCAGAATATTAAAGAGTTATAAACATAAAAACCAAGTTATGTATTATCATAATCCAACCATTACTATCACCCATTTTATCAAAATATAACCTTCCATACAGCATATGGAGTTTAAGAGAATTATAATAGCTGGCATGAGTTTTACACACACAAACACATATAGACATATATGTACATACACACATTATATATATATATATATATATATATATTTATACATGTGTGTGGGTGCCTGTATATAAGCAAGTTAAGAAAGTGATTTTTAACTTCTTTTCCATTTTCTCCTTATCTGTCATGAATCATACACATTAACCTAGCTATTGCTGAAAGCTATCAACAGAACCATACAACCAAAACCTTCACAGTTAGAATAATTACTATCCTCTCACATACACGATCACTCATTACCTTCAAATTTATCTACTCGGCTAAACATTATCTCTCTATTTAAAACCATTACCACCTCAGGTTTCAATCAGTCACCATAACAAAGCTACAAAGTTGGTCATCACCATCACCCAATTTATTTAACTAAGGTTATCAAAAACATTTAGGCATGAAACCCTTCTGTTTGCATGTTTTCTACATAATCAGTAAATTCTACTATTTTTGTGGTCAGAAGAGGAAAGTCAACACAGCAACATACAATCTTCACATACAAGTTTTAGTAACTTGAATATATCTGTAACTTCTGTGAATTTGGTAGATACTATAAACTGAAGTAAAAACTTAGGTGGTTTTATTTTACATTTTGAGCTTGTATAAAGTGTTCTTTTCTTAAACAGATTTCATATGGTGCCCATAAGGAGTTTTTTGACAGTCAAGGACAGCTACAGGAGTTGAAAATTCCACCTAAAGACATCTACTTTAATAAAGACTTAAAAGACTTTACTATTGACAACCTTATGCCCTTTACAACTTATCAGGTCAACATTACTGCTATACCTCCTGACAAATCTTATCGTCCACCTGCAAGAATAGCTGTAACAACTGCCAGAGCTGGTATGTACAGACATTTCTCTTTTGGAAAAGATAAGATATTTATTATTTCAATATTGGGGATATGCATGCATTTCTTATGTTATTAAAGTGGCATGAGAAGTTATTTTCTCATTCAATTTCTCAGTTGTGGAAAACACTATAGATCTTCATAAACATACCTTCATTTATTTTATATTCTAAGCCTTTTTCTTTTTTGATTTAAAAAAATTGCACATGAAAGAGTGTGCAAGAACTAGATAGGAACTGGTGATACATTATTAGAATATTTTGATTTTTTATAATCTACAAATTCTAAAATCTCATGAAGAGTTAACCTAAAATATAAATATAGTAATCTGTTTCTAGATATAAGTAGTTGTTAAACAAAGAGTTTCCTAGAAGTTTAAAGCTCTGATATTGTCTAATTAATAGATATAAAGATCTAGTTCTTATAATATCAGTTGAACAAAACTAAAAACAGAAACTTCTGTTCTGTGATTTGATGTGTGTAACCTACACACATATTGTACTTTCATAATTATATTTGACATGTATATGATTTAACATGTTAAGTCTAAAAAGGAATATTAGTTTTCTTTTCTTTAATTATATCAAAAAACTTGGGTTGTAACTTAAGTATATTCTGTAATATGTGCATACTGACTAAGCAATGTACTCAGTTGCAAACTTATTGCTTTTAGCTCCAAGACCAATGGTCAAACCAGATCACTTAGGTGTCAAGAATGACCAGGAAATTAAAGTCATACTACCTCAAGCCTCAGAGGAATATGGTCTGATAAGTCACTATTATTTAGTGGTTGTACCGGAAGAGCAAGCCAGAGAAAATCCAGAAACTTATAAAATAGAAAAGGTAAGAAAACAATCTTGAAATAAATTTCCTTTTTTAAGAGAAACTTTAAAGATTCCATTCTGCCTTTGTGAAGAAAGAGGTATGATATCAATACTTTCCTGTGAACAACTATATAAATCAATAAAATTATCAGTATTATCCAACTACATTAAATAAAATTCAAGGAAACAACTTTATGCTTATTTAGTTACTGGCCATTTAAATTATAATTGAATGTCTTACTCTTGAACCTACAGCTTTAGGCTACATTTAGAAAATGGTGTTGTAAGGTCAGTAACAGATCAAACAGTGCCATGAGCCAGCCTCACTTCATTTATCAACACTGGCAATGACTAAGTCAGATTTATTATACTATTATTTATAGTTGATAATATACTTAGTGGTCAATAGTAATACAAATAAGTATTCATCATTGCTGTTGACATTAGCCTCTTGTATTTACAACAATATTCTAATAGTAGTGGACAGTACTACCATTTCTGGTATCAATAGGATACTAAATGACACTACTGAGTGTCAATATAATATCAATACTGGCATAAAAAATTTAACTTCAGATATTAACACTAAACAGCATTGAGGCACATGTTAGCCTGCTTGCTCTTTTATATTTTTCCAAAATTGTTTTTAACACAGATAATGCACATTTATTGGGAACGTTAAAGAGCCATCAAATAAATAAGAAACTAAGAATACTGTACATTATTCAGGGCTAACATCAAAGCTTAGTAGACACACTGTAGTTCTTGAGACAAGCTAATCCCCAATGGCAACTAGGATTGAGCATTGCAGATTTATAGAACGTTTTAAGATGGCTAATTTAGAAAGTGTAAACCAAAAGTTGGCTAATAAATAACTAACTTTGTTCTAAGCTTCTGTAGCTTAAATAATTTTTTATTTATAAGTGAGTTCTATTTTTTAATTTAATAGAAATTCAGCCAAAATGCATAAAAGTATTGTTTTGTGATTCGCTTGCATCTTATCTTGGGTATTTGCCAAAATCTATAATACATGAGCAAGCAGTGGGAATTAAGCTTGAGACCCTTGAATAACCAAAACTGAACAAACTTGAAGTAAATAAAATATAAATTTATGAGGCTAAAATTGAGCAGAACACAGATGGCCCATTATGTAGCTTTGAACTTAAGAACAGAAAAACATAATAGTAATATTCAGATGATTTGGAATAAGCAAAAGTAAATATAAATTTTTATTAGCTGATTATTTCCATAACACTCAAATAATCAATCATTGATATAATCAATAGCAGTAACAATTAAAAATATAATTTCGATTAGTTGAGTATTTTTGTAGTAATCAATTTAATCATATAGATTAATCAATTACTTTACATAACAGTAATCAGTGTAATTGCTGCTCATAGGTAATTAATTATATCAATTAACTATTGAAGTTCTAATAACCAAACAATAATTAACATGAATTAATTTGATAAGTAAAATAAGTACATTAAAACTAATTAAGGAATATAATTGGATCTGGAAAACCATCAGTTACCATACCAGAAAATGTACAAACCTTTGACTACACCAAAAACATATATTTCAAGTTTAACTGGTATTTTTCTTGTATAGTGATTTTAAATTTTATGGTACATTCTAAGAGGGACACCATCTTACCAACTACTTATTTTGAATATTGTTTTATTTAACTACTCATATTACTTGATTGTATTATATTTAATGTTTTGAATATCTTTTTGTTTATATCTAGCTTAATGAAACTGCTCTTGATCAAGTTGGACCCTACATAGCTGCCAAATTTTTACGCCGAAATATGCCCCAGAATTTTCCTTTAGGTGATGGCAAGATTTATAATGGATTCCTGAATCGGCGCTTACAGCATGGACAGAAATATAGGATTTTTGTGAGAGCTGTAGTAGATACACCACTGGAGGTAATTCAGATAATGCCATGTTTGCTTCGTAAAGCCATTTACTAATGTCTATGTTTTAATGTTTTTTTAAGAACTGTAAATATAGGTTTTTTATTAAGCTTTATTGATGGCTTAGAATACATAGATTAATTAAAAGTATTCTAACTTCATGTGGAAATGAATACATCACTGTAGAAAATATACAAATATTTGTAAAGGAAGTACTAAGTTTTAAATGAAACCTGAATTAGAAGTATTTCTACATGAAGAATTAACACTCATCACCACTGTTACTGAATACTTAAAAGTAAAGAAAATTTTATTCAAAGGAAAAGAAGAATTCACAAACTAAACTTTTATCTGAGCCCCAGTGCACATACAGCTTGAAACAACTCATAATAAGAAATAAAGAGCATTCTGGTAACTTTCAACATTTTTTCATATGTTTTATTTTATTTTTTCTTCATTCTTTATCTACCCATATTTAATATAGATAGATGAAGAAAGGTATACAAGTTTATTTGGGTAAAAAAAGTTAGTCATATTTTGTAATTCTTTAAGAAACATCTCATTGGTTTGCCTCTTTACTTATATGTGTATTTTATCCCATGCATTTGCATGTGAACTGAAGGAACCATGTTTTCTACATTACAGAACCTCTTTACCAGCAGTCCTTTGTCTGAAAGTTTGAGTTTAGATATGATAGCCGGAGAGTCAGGCCAGCCACCTTTTGTTAACACAGATAATCCTGATGTGAATATTGTTTACAATAACACCCAGCAGTCAGGAATATTATGGATTATTGGTCCTATTATTGCCTGTGTGTTGGTTATCACCTGTGTTATCATTTTCTTTATCATGAAACGGTACTCAACAGATTTATCATTATTGTCTACAATTTAGTCTATAAGTTAACATTAGATGTTATCACCTGTGTTATCATTTTCTTTATCATGAAACGGTACTCGACAGATTTATCATTATTGTCTACAATTTAGTCTATAAGTTAACATTAGATGTGCTTAAAATGTCATAGTTTTTCTATGTTAGATAACAAGATTTATTATTAATCTCAAAGTTTGTAATAGTTGTGTGCCTAAAATAATGCAAAAATATTTATAAAAGTTTAGTGATACATCAGTTTTTTTAGAATTGGAAATTGATAGGTATATACAGTATCAATAAATATTTAATCCTCATTTCTGAAATGCTAGGATTGGTCATTACTCTGAAAATCAGAAATATATTAGTGCTTAATGATACCTTTAAGGTTTTGCATATGAAGTGCAAAGATTGAGTGTTAGCTTACAAGCCATATGTAGTTTTAATATAATGCTTACTCCTTATTTGTAAACTGAAAAGACTGGCCATTGGTTTAATGAGTCATTTATTTAGAGTTTATTAGGTAATAATTGCTTAGTCTATAAATATATAATGGAAACAACACAAATAAAGCTAGCTATTTGACTCATGACTTATTTTACTAAACATGTACATATGAAAATAGATTTGTTAACTAGTGAATTTACAAAACAATAAGTGGAGATGTATGATGTGTTTTTTAATAGCTAGTAAAAGCTTCACTTTTATACAATTCGTATACAATGATTGGAATTGAGTGTGTCATTAATTAGCATATAAGTTTAGGATGATAACTTGTTTTTTCTGAATGCTTATTGTATTAAACTGTTGTGTGATACTCTAGTAATTTAGTAAGCTAGTTTCTTCAGAACTTCAGAGAGAGAGAATATTTGTAAATATTTTAACAAGTCTACTCAATATTTAGATAATTAAACACAGAAACAAATACTGATTCATTTTAGATACATTATTAAATTATGTAAAAAATATATTATGTTATACTATTAAAAATAATTATGTATTTTGTTTGTTTATTGTTAAGCACAAAGCTACACAATGAGCTATCTATGTTATATCAACCATTGGTATCAAAACTCAATTTTTAGCATTATAAGCCCTCAGATTTGAAAATGAGCCATAAAATGGCTTATATGTGTTTGTAGCAGTCTTCTTCGTAACCTATTTTGAGCTAGAAACATTTTTCCTCTTTGTTAGAAAAGTGTCAATTAGTTATAGCTCTCTGGAATATAATTAAGCAGTCACTTTATGCATTTTTTGCTTAGAATAAAAAACACATATGTTTATTTGCTAACAGGCGACGGCAGATGAGTAAAACTCCAATAGGTGAAACAACAACAAAACTACTTGTGAATCCCAGTGACAGGGAGTTTACCACCAACCCAACAGACCCTTTAGAAATGTGGAGACTAAACTATCAAACCCCAGCAATGATGAATCACCCCCCAATTCCAGTTACAGAGTTGTCCAATCACATTGAAAGACTCAAGGCAAATGACAATCTCAAGTTCTCACAAGAATATGAGGTCTGTATAATTACTATAAATTGCTCAGAATCAAATTGATGAGATGAAAGAGCATAAAATATTGAATAACACTTAACTGGTGTTTTTTTGATAAAATGATTTATGTATAAATATGTTTATGATATATTTACATTATTAATTATATGGATTTATAAATGTAGATTCAACTGAAATGCATAATAGTCAATGTATAAATCTTTTCAGTCTATAGAACCAGGACAGCAATTTACGTGGGAGAATTCGAACTTGGATGTCAACAAGCCTAAGAATCGGTATGCTAACGTTATTGCATATGATCATAGTCGTGTTGTTCTACAACCCTTAGATGGTATTCCAGGCTCTGACTATATAAATTCCAATTACTGTAATGGATATCGGAAACAGAATGCCTATATTGCTTCGCAGGGACCTTTGCCAGAAACATTTGGAGACTTTTGGAGGATGGCATGGGAACAACATTCTGCTTCCATTGTCATGATGACAAAGTTGGAAGAAAGAACTAGAATTAAAGTAAGGATTCCACAAAGATTGTATGAATACTTTTCTGTTATTATCATAATTTTCTGAAATGTTGCATTATTATTATTATATTATAATATCATAAGTTAAACATTTTTTATAACAATTGTTTCTTTATATTTTTGATTTGAACTTCAGTCACTTAATTTGATAAATAATTTCTTTATTTCCCACAGCATTAAATTTGTACCCACAGGAAAATAACCTCAGATTTGTTAAGTGAACTTTAAAAATTAGGATTTGATTTCAAAGTTGAAATTTCATATGACTGATGAGCTCTAAAATCAGTTTTCCCATCTCTAATTGTTAATATTATGGAATTTTTGTTATATAGTGTGACCAGTACTGGCCAAGCAGAGGCACAGAAACATATGGGGTGATGCATATCAGTTTGAAAGATGTGCAAGAATTGGCAACATACTGTATACGTACTTTTACTTTACAAAGGGTGAGCAATGTTTCATTGTATATGATTTAACACAAATCATATACATATTCCAGGTTTTGTGTAAACAAAATGCTTTTCTCAAACTAATACAGTTTTGGTAATACATTGCTTCTAGTACCAATTTCAGTTATTGTTTAGATTCTTAATTTTAGTTGCTTTTACTATTAATTGAAAATATAAGTTACTGACAAACACTGGCTAGAACAGTGAATAGTTAAGAAACAATTATTAAAAATTTGAAAAATTAGTTTATAAAAACATAATATAGCAGGAAGAAGCCCTTGGTGGTTCAGCAGTGAGCATGAGGGCTTATAACACTAGAATTTGTGGTTTGATCCCTGCAATCAGAACAGCCCAGATAGCACATTATAGAGTTTTGCATTTAATGGCTAACAAAAAATCAGGAAGAGTTTTATTTTTCTCTATAGCTGTAGTAAATAATATTTGATTAACTTCATGAACTGACTTTGTCTTCATCATACTTGGATTATATTAGATGGGTTACTCAGAGAGGCGTGAGGTACGTCAGTTTCAGTTTACAGCTTGGCCTGATCATGGAGTGCCTGATCATCCTACACCTTTCTTGGTCTTTCTACGACGAGTCAGAGCTATGAATCCACCAAATGCTGGGCCTATGATTGTGCATTGCAGGTAAAGATGTAAAGCAAAATATTACCTTTCACTCTAGTGAGTAATTTAGAAAACTGAGAAAATTCTCTTTCTCTAATAAACATCAATATATTGTTACTTAAAATATAAAAAAAACTTATCTTTTGAGATAACTATGAAAACTTTTTATACATAATACAAAAATATTTGCAATTCAGGATCATTCACACAAAATATTATAAATATTATTCTAAAAAGGAAAATAGAGCTTTATAAAAAACATTATTATAAAGAAAATTTTTCTCATCAATAACTACCATTCTAGGAAATAGTAATTAGGTTTACTAAATTTTACTTAGAATGTGTATAAAGCCTTAATTTAACATTTATTACTTAAACTGTTTTACCATTCACATTTTTTCCTTATAGTGCAGGAGTGGGAAGAACTGGGTGTTTTATTGTCATTGATTCTATGTTGGAGAGACTAAAGCACGAGAATACAGTTGACATATATGGTCATGTGACTTGTTTGAGAGCTCAACGCAACTACATGGTACAGACAGAAGATCAGTACATTTTTATTCATGATGCTGTTTTGGATGCTGTTCTTGCTGGATATACTGAAGTCCCTGCCCAAACCCTCTATTCCCACATCCAGCAGCTGATGGAGTGCATTCCTGGACAAAACTGTACAGGCATGGAAATAGAATTTAAGGTACCTATATATAGGTGACTGTTGTAGTAATGAATATGTCAATTTAATTTTAATGTTTCAGTTATCTTGAAACTGACACCAAATTCCCAAACCTGATTTATCTATATCTTTTGAAATCATGTCCTTCACATTCTCACAAAAGAATAGTTTGATGGAAGATACAGTTAAACAAGTATATTTGCTGAGGATAATTGTACTTTACATGAATGATATTCCATGTCATGTGATGCTCTTGGAACTTCTTCCTCCATTGTCAATTAAATCATGTTCTGTTGAATGGCTATGATTACGTGCCTTTGACTGAAACTGCAATTTCTACTATAACAAGTTTCTTCAAAGTATTATGAGATTATTGACAGACTTTGCACAGACCTGCCACTGTTCTTGGATATTGGCATTCAAGATCACATTTAAGTAAACCAAAGGCACAAAACCCCATTGGAGCTGCATCATAGGGCTTGACAAATATGTGGTTGGATGGGATTGTTATAATTCATGCCGGTTCATGAAAACAGTTGTTGGTTTTAAGGTGAGGCTGAAAGCTTATGATCCTTAGTCAACCTCAGATCTTTATGGATTTTTTTTATTAACAGCTTTATCAAAATACTTTTCTGAGCCAGAACATTTCTTTTCCTAGCTAACCTATAGACTATAACATTGCTCTACGTTGGTTTGAGGTACAGTTTCTTGCCCTAAAAGCTCAGTTGGGCAAATTTTTCTACTTCTGAAGAGAGCATTGAAGATTATCTTCTTCAAAATGTTGTGTATTTTGACTTAACATAATTGAACAATCTCACTGAACTTCTTTCTTGGAAAAGGTGTGTGACATAATTTTCAAGCCATAAGCTCTACCAATGGCTGCATTGTATGTCAAATGATTGGGATTTATATTGGAATTAATTATTGGAGTTGCATTAATATTTAAGAAAACATTATTTCTGATAGAATACATTACCTCCTATCACATAAATATCTATTCTCGTTCAGTGCTGCCCTCTATATGTACATTTTATTTCTCATGCCACAAGCCTTGAGCTCCCATGTATCCCAAGATCAATGGGATTCAACTGTGTCTTGCATGCAAATCATCATGCGACAACCCTCCACCAATAGAAGTGCGACACATCCTCCAGATATATGGGACTCCCTCTATTTGATTCTACCAAACTATCACTTCTCATTTGGCAGTGCTATCGTCAAGACGTTTTTTGTTCAAGCTTTCTCCCCATGTTTCTTTTTTTTTAATTTCATACAAAGTAGAGATGTTTTATAAACTTTTATACATCACTTTACCTGTTTTAAGTGATAACTTACCTTTACTGTTCTTAATTTTTTTTAGGGGGTTTCATCGAAGCTTATGTTTCCACTTCAAAAATGTTATCATTTACTTCTAGCTCAGTTGCTTAGGCTTCAGGTGTTGGTACTCAACCGAGGAATTGTCAGCTTGAATACATTGGGCAATTGATCGTTATATGAGTTGACCTTAGTTGGACCTCGAGTTTTGTGGCCCACACATTTGGGTCCACTGACTTTGGACAGATAAGCTGTTATACTTTTGTAGCTTTTTGAATATTTTTGATATTAATATTATTATTATTTGTAGTTATTTGATTTCAATAACATAATTTTAGTGAGAGTTGTACCTACTTCGTGTAAGGTTAGGGTTTTTTAATTAACGTTTAGTGATATCCTTTTGTACTACAACGTTGGATTAGGCTTCACATGTATCTTTGTAATTTTAGGCTTACCTGTCATTTATCTTACTGGTAAATCATAAAGTAGGTTAGATATATTGTTTATTCAACAAATACCATCTACTAAATGTTATTATCAATATACACTTAATTTTATAATATAATGACTTTTTAATTTTCTTAATTACTTATATTTTATACTTCTTACAATTAATTTCGTTTTTGTAGGACCCCTGGGTCCGGCATCTGGCCAACCTTATCCCACTGTTGCTTGCCTTCCTCCTCAAACTGCCGAACTTGTTCGGAACGATGTCTATTTTTACAATTTTCCTCCACCTGATTCTGTATTGGCCTTCCCAGGCCTCTACTGTCAAGTCTGCTAGGTCTACCTCAGCCCCTTTTTATACATGTTTCAAAGGTTTTGGTTTATTTTCTTTTTTCCTCCTTTTCCAGACATTTTGGTTCATGCTGAGCCTTTATGTCTCTCTTTTTCCCCATAATCAATTCCACTGATTTGGCACTTTACCTCTTACCTACATCTCACCCTCGTCGTATGTTGGAGGTACTTCTTGCATTGAGCACTAGGACTACACCACATATGTTTATCTGCCATTATCTGCTTCAGGTAGCTGTTTC